GTAGAAACCAATCTTTCTATTTGTAAAAAGTTAAAACAAAAGAAAAGTAACTTAGTGTTCTCACTCAGTTCTCACAGATCAGATCAGATCTAGAAAAGTATTCAGTTTGCATGCAATATTTGTGTGCTAATTTTTAGTACTATGTCGGTAGGTACTTTTCTCGCCATAGTATTTATATTTATTCAATACTAAACAATTAATGTATAGGTATAAATCATTGAATTTTGTCAGTACCTTGTTGATACTTCTCCATGGAAAAGCAGTAGTAGGTGGCAATCACACAGAAAACACTTGAAAGACATTGTAAAGCCTGTAGTTGGTTTTTTGTGATCCATATAGCGAAAGGGGGTACCCCGTACTATCATATTCTACGGTAAGTTACTCTCTACGAAAGGCTTAGCTCTACAAAGTCCTATACTTATCACGCAATTTTATTAGAAGCAAACTGACTTCAAAATTAAGCTTAAAAAGCAAGATAGATTCTATATACCGTGATATACGTGACTAGTAAATCTGTGAGAAACAACGACGGAAAACGTGAAACAAAACCCATTGCTTTAGTAAATCCGTGACGTTGAGAGCGTCCCGATGTTTGCCCAACGATCGCTCCTGGGGGACCCGACTCAAGTGCTCCCGTTCATATGTGCGCTCTTGTAACTATATAATATAGTTATAGACTTCGATTGGAAGAAAGATAACGCGAAATGTGTTATACATTGAATTGTATTACTTTAGCTCTAGTACTGTCAGCTAACACGAATCAAAAAGATTGTAATCAAATCACCTTACGTCAATCTTCCGCCTTTTGAATAGTTTCTAGTGTTGGTTTGAAATTTTGCAACTGATTTGATGACCCACCAAAGCTTATTTTTTTCCATCCTCTAAGCACCAAAGACATATGTATACCTACGTATTACATATATGTATCATGAACTGAAGTCTTGGCAATTCACCAAGATTTAGCGGTATGATTTTAAATGTTTGCCTTTTCCTTAACGGAAAGAAGAAAAAACAACAACATAGTTTGACAAAAATACCCAAAAACGACACTAATACTAATGTAACATAATAATAATTTATTGTACATAAAAATACGAACACGTTACATGGTATTATAGATTACAAATAAACAGGTTTTGTATGATATTGTCTAAGGTGATGGCGAAACTTCCACTGTTCTTTATTCACAGGCTCATAGAACTAACTAAAATAAGCAACGAAATGTATTTCAATTAAAATTTTCGATTTACGCGCTTATTGCTACAAAAAGGTTTTTTTTAACAGAAGATTTTAATTATTTATTGCATGATCTGTTTTGAGAAGAGAAAAGACAATGTTGTCCGCCTAAAATAAAAATATTTGCCATATAATTAATCTACAAGTTCTAGTATTAGTAGAACTTGTAGAATTGTTTAAAACAGCTTTTTTTTAATTTCCAGTCCTCAACATCTTTTTTGGAAATGAAATCGTCTGTTGGCAGTGTATCGAATAGATTGTTTCATAAGTCACCTTCAGTATTTTCTTATGTCGTTCTAAATGTAAATTGACTGTAGAGGTGCCAATTTTATTTTTAATGGTTATCACTAGACTAAGACTTTTTTAAATGTTGAGACATTACCTATTTCTGCCGCCAAACAGTAATGTGAGTATTACTGCTTCCGGTTTTTAAGGGTAAGGGTGCTGGTGAAATTACAGGCACATGGGATTTGTCAACTTATGTCTCAGCATGACAGCCGGAGTGGGATGCCCCTCAGATCTTTGCGGTTTAAAGCTCTAAGTGGCACTGCAACTGTTATGGACAGGCGTGTCGCTTACCACCAGGCCCACGACTTGTTCGTCGCGTCACTAGGCATCATAAAAAAAAGATAAAATAAAATTCATCAATAGATGCTGAAACAACTCGTGACTTCGGGCTATCAATTTGCAGGAATGTCATCCAGACAAACTTGGTTTTTACTCTTCTACGGATAACAATTCATTGGCTTCTATCACGTGAAAGTCGTGAAAACTATCCGAATTACATAATTTAAAAGCAAATTAAATTGTGTTTGTTAAATTGTGTAACTCCTATAATTAAGCATAAAAGAGCATTTTCGACTAATTTCGTTGTAGAATATTGAATCGGCTCTCTGGCAAAGTTGCCATGTTGCAGATATGACCTTATTACACTAAAAAAACAGAAATGTTGCTTATTGCCGCAGTCACTAAGATTTTTGTACATAAAAATTAAATTACATCATCCATAGAATTCCTCATTTCAATGTAATGTAATCGTAATAAAATTTATCTCTAATTACTTGTTATTGTATTTTATTTTATTATTAGTATTTTTATGATATAATATAATGCAAATGTAACTATTGCAAATGCAATGCGATGAATTATTAATATTTTATAATTCATTTTCAATGACTTAAACATTGACTTGATGTATTTATTTATTTATTTATTGTATAGGAAAGCCATCATGATGCATATATAACAATAGCAAATGTACAATATTTTTAAATATTGTGAAACTACTTTCAAACCTTGTAAAATATTGTACATTATTAATAGCCAATTATATAGTGTATATCTACATATACACTATATAATTGGCTAACACAGCAAGCTATACAGATTGAAGGATATATGAAAATGTAGCGTAATAGATGATTGTTTGTTTTACGAATTTAATGATATCGCCACTGACTTGTAACGTAAAACATTGTTACCAATAAATAATTTCATTTCCATTTCATTTCATCATCATCACTGGTTTAAATCACATGTCGAAAATATCTTAGGAACAATAAATAAAATGCTATTTGTTGCTAAATCGAGAATCGCAGTCCCGCGAGTGGCAAATCACTTGTTTACCGACCGATCGCTCCTAGGGGATATGTCTCAGGTTACTCGCAAAGCAATAAAATTCAGCTTAAAACTTTGGTTTCAAATATTGGAAACAGGTACGATTTGTGTGTTTTAGAAATAAGAGATGGCACTGTTATTTTCTTGGAGTATTATTTAATATTCTCATGCATTCCCAATGCTAAATTGGTATCTTTTATACATAACGTTATATAAGTAGGAATATAGTTTTAATGTTGATTTAAATTTCATATAGGCATTTTATATTTATGTATAATATTATATATTCTATTAGTTTGACCTACAGCTTCTCAAGCTGAAGATCGTGGGAAGGTCGTGGGTATGAATCCGGGTTGCACCTCGGACTTTTTCGAAATTTATGTGCAAACTTTAATTTGAAATTTACCATGTGGTTTGCGGTGAATAAAAAACAACGTGAAGAAACCTGCACACATATCCAAAGCAATTTAATGATGTGTGTGTAGTACGTAATACGCATTATTCAACGATAATGGTAGTATATATGGGCTAACAATATTATTATTATTTACATTAGTCCTCCACCTCACCTAGAAATGAACGAGCACTATAAACGCTCGTCTAGAAGATGCTTACGTTTACTCCTTTGGGGAAATTGGTCCAATAATATTCGTGGAATGTAATTCTTAATTAAGTAGTAACTATCCTATACATTAATGTATATACAAATAGCGTAATAAAAATAGGTTATCTTGGTAAATATCAAATTAAAAGATTCAATATTTCGTGCAAAATTAGTCTACGTTAATTTGTGATTATTAGTAATAATTTTATCAGATTTCGGTAAATTGGATATGAACTCGTATCTTAAGGCACAAAGTAACTGAAATACAAAAAAACGCATTGTATACCTATACTAATTTTGCAGGTTCATTTCATATCATATTTCCTTCATATTCACACGCTGGCTTTTACTTATTCTGAAAGTAATGCATCCAACTTAGCATCGTTGATATCTAAAAAACAAATATACGCGATGTAGATCCTAAAAATATTTTCATTCTCACTGTGTAACAATTGCGAAAACCTTGGAACTCGATATGGATATCCTGAACAATTTATGTGATGTACATACTTAAGGCACTATAAGTTGCATTGCCTTGAAATATAGTGAATATTATACTAGCAATATCTTGATTTTCATAAATCTCTAAATTCTAATTAACACATCCTTTGTTACAATTAGTCGAAATGATGTAGAGTTGCACAATAAATTTATTTATTTTATTTCATACAAAAGGCATACAAGAAAACAATGCAATATCTTACCAAACTGCGAAAACAGTTTATTGGCGAAGTTACACTCAAAATCACAAATTTATAGTTATACCTAATACGAGTACATTTAATCAAAACTGGTGTAGACTTCTCAATGGTAGATTTTAATTAAATTTACATGGTTTCAAGAAGTATCAATTTTAATTATTTCTACAAAGAGAATTACGTAACAATTCTCTGTCTCTCAAAAACTCTAATTTGTTAAATATAATTGGCAAGAAATGCCTATTTTGTTCTTTTACCCAAATTAGTTGTGTACTTTTGGACATACCTACATATTTTCAAGGGACTAATCAAAGGACGAAATATATTTTCGACATAAAATCAATGTCGAATGTATACTATTGCATGTTCATATATAGGAGTAGGATGTTTCCAAAATGGAACCTGTACAAACATCAACGGTAACAACTAGGTACAGATTTCAGGTGGCGATAGCAGGGCGGGCGCTCGCTCGCCCCGCCCCCCACGGCCATTGTCTAAAAGGGAGTAATTGAATAAATTATCTCGAAATTTAATAACCCTATTAGCCGCTGACGCAAACAACTCTTGACTGATAGTCGGGAATGCGGGATATCGAATATTCAATTATTCCGCACACATGTTTCTTTATGTTTTCTAGGGTAGGAAAATAGATTGATAATGATCCTTTTGTTCATATAATTTGAATCTGAAGTTGGTCAATAAAATTAAATCCGTCAAATTCATATACAGGATAGCTTCTAATTATTTCTAGCAACGCGTGAAACAAATCAACGCTTCTACAAAACGTATGTGTTGTTTCTGTTTTTATTTTATTTTTTTTATAGAAAATATGTGTTCGTTCATCCTCTGTCTTGTATGGGAATAATCGGGAATATATACTGTTTCTCTTGATTAATTATTTGTTTGAGATTGAGAAAGTCACCACATAGGTATAAATAACATACATGTATACAAAATAAAAAAAATAAAAAACAAATGTGTCAAATAAACTTATTATTCTATTATTTATTACGTACTCGCTAAATATTATTACATTATAATTATTCAGCCATAACCTATATTGTTTAAGAACACATAAAACATTTACAAATAGATACACAATTGTGCAGAACCGGTAACTTAACTGAAATGTACAGTACATGCATTCATGGACATATTTAGAGAAACACTAAATATAAGTTGAATTACGATAACATGATAACGATGTTCATCATAATTCACCCTATATTTGGTGGCCACATGCACCAGAACGTTGAATTAAAAAAAAGAATAAACTTCTTCTATTAAATGGTCTGGTATGTGTGGCCAGTGGTTTGTATGAACATTATCATAATCCAACCTTCTTTAGCATTTCTCATATAATGTCCTTGAGTGTTGTATAGTAAAAATAGCAAAAAAATATTTATAATACCAGAACGTAACACAAACATAATACAAACCAAAAACAATGAGGGCAAGATACTGTTTATTAAATTGTGTAATAAAAAATCACACATAACAGAGGATAAAAAGAATATTTTAACTGACAGTGGCCCTACTACAGCTACAACTAACTAATACGAGAACACAGCAACTTTTTGAGAACGTTGTTCATACATTGTTAAACCTTTTCAAAGAACTATGTGCATACCAATATGAACTTAAAAAAAAAAATAAAACAAAATAACTCCTCAATCATTTCTTAATCTATCACAATAATATACCAATCATTTATAAAATAGTGCATTTTGGGTAGAGTTCGAAATGATTTATATTAAAAATCTCGTAGGAATAATAAAGAATAAATTAAGTTTTTATTATTTAGTGTTCTGTGTGAGATTTTTATTATAATTATAATAACTATGACTTGTGTATTGTAAATTGTAACAAAAGTATCCAAACATAATGAATATATTGTTAAATTTATAAACAATTGTTTTTTAAGTAATTATTAGTAATGAAGTAAAAAATTACTTGTAAGTGTAATAAAAAAAAACGGAGATTCATAGGGAATTTTATGAAGGACCTCTAATTTAATTGTTCTGTGTTGTTTCTTATTAACAGTCTTGTTAAAGAAAGTAACAAGGCTATAGTAAGTTTTGCATTAAAGAAGGGTTAGATAAACGTCATCCTGTTTTTTTTTACTTTAAATTGCTATTACATAAAAATTATATATTATTAATAAATAAATAATTTGCAATAACTTACCTCAATATATTGTAAACAATTTCGACGATTACATTTTATAATAATAATTTCTACCACATTTATTCTACATATTTACTTTAGTTAATTACATTTATTATGATATTATTTATGAGATATGATAATTTTATTTTGATATGTTTCGCATTGATATTCTTTAGAGTTGTTCTTGTATTATATATAATACAATTACTCTAAATTCAATACATGAACATTGATGTTATTGTCCATTACATAAATTATGTGGGTGTTATATTTTTAATAAACAATATGTAGATTTATAGGGCCACATCGATGTCCGGAGGGCATCACTCCTAAGGTTTGCATTCGCGCGCACTTTTGAATTTCGAAGACAATAGTTTTTTTAAATCAGCACTTGAAGATATGGAAGGCATAACGAACAACCACGTTACAAAAGAAAGTTCTTTTACTTTGTCTTACTAAAAATGTAAGCATGTTTTCAATGTTTTACTTTTAATTTTGATCGCGTTTCCACCCTTAAGAGTGATGCGCCCCCGGTGCGCGCCACGTGACTGCCGCCGAAGAACCTTTGTGTTTACATCCAACCCTGCTGCACCCCGCGTCCCGCCGACTTTCCACCCCCACTCTAATGCTATGTTTGAAAATTTCGCATTTTCCTTTCGTCGTTTTCCGCAACTTGTGTTGAAACAGAAATGGTTTTGTTCCCCATTATTTTAAGTTTTAGTTTAATTAACTTAAGTGTTAAATACGTTATTTTATTCAATTATTTACTGTAAATGTACTTAGGTAAGGTATAAAATACTTATAATTATATTAAATAAAATAAATAAACATCTAAAAAATATGATGCCTGTTACGTAAAATAAAACTACATACAAAGTACCTAGTAGAACGCAACTACTTCAACTGGAAACAGCGATAAGAGGCTTAACGCTATAAAAAAAGAATTTAGGTGCAGGGAGAAATCAAGGGAACTATATAAATTGAATTTATATTCTGTAGAGTCCCAAATGTTTTATTTATTATTTGAAAAAGGAAAGGTAACATACTCCATCCAACCATTTATTTAACTTTTGATATATGCATGCCTTTGAAGTTCCGTAATTATTGACATACTACCACCATAGATTTAGTACCATATACTAAATCTATGACTACCACAGACAAAAAATGCGATACTTCCTAGACTCTTTTATATTTTTATTTTAGTGAAGTGACCTGCACTTTAGCTCCGATATTTATCGAGCCAACTTATTATATAACGAAGATGATTCAAGTTGATAAATTTTGATACCACTGTAATAATTTATGATAAATTGAGATAAATTATAAATAATTATAAAAAATTCTTATTCTTCATTATAATTCATAATTAATTAATTATTAATAAATTATATTCTATAATAAATATATAAATTATATAATAAATATTCATCATTAATAAATTCACTATAATGAATCGTCGGATTCTTTTCCATATGAACGGGAATTATCTCTTGAATCCTCATTAACATTAATTATTAATTCTTGAGTACACAAATTGTCAAACGCAACATCACTATCACAATCAAACAACATCTTCTTTTTGATAATAAATAAAACATAGTGCTACGTTCAAGTTTTTCGTCTACTTCTGTTTGCTTATCAACGACATCCTTTTTGGATTTCGCCAGTATCGAGATTTCCGCTTAGTAAATCCAGGGCCTTCTGCAGGTTCTGCTATTCAACGAGTATTGTGGGAGCACAATATGCGAAAGAATTACAATATCAAGCCGTCAAATGGAATATCCCTGACTCTGAAACTGCAAGTAACCTACGAAACTGAATAATGTGTACATATAGCACATTATTAGCATTGCAATCTTCGGAAACGTTTGTAGATTTGTTACATTCTATACACACATCAAAAAAAGTTTGCGATCAATAGCATAAGCTCCTATAATTCTTTAAATTTAACTTTATCAAGAAAAAATCTATGTTGTATGCTTTCTTTAAATAGGAATACCCTGTTTGAAATTAAAATATAAAACTATTTTTTATTATTTATTTAAAAAAATTGAGCCATTAATCATAATGTAATAGTGATAGAAATTTCATAGAAAGAAAAAGACTGTTTAATTAAACTTAAACAACAATTTATTATTAAAAGGTGTGAATTCAATATAAAATAACTCCTCCCCTGGCTCGAATACATGCGAAGATCCTCCTGGGCATGCTGAGGATCAAGTTATCCAGCATTTCCTGGGGTAACCTATCCCATTCTTCAATAGCGGCTTCCCTGAGCTCTGGAACTGTCTGGGGACGTGGCTCACGGTTCCATAATGCTCGTTTAAGAGCATCCCACGCGTGCTCTATTGGGTTTAAGTCGGGCGAGCCGGCAGGCCAGTCTAATCGTGTGATATCGTATTCTTGAAGAGCAGCATTGACTCGTTGAGCTCGATGTGCGGGCGCATTATCATCGACCAGTACAAATTGGTGCCCATGGTTTACTCGGAATGGTCTGACGATATCATCAATAGCAACTGCTTTGTACATGTCTGCTGTCATGAAGCCCCGATACGGGATCAAAGGCGTTGTAGCTCCAATCATAATGCCACCCCAAAAGGACACCGATTTTCCGCCTTGCTGAACTGTTCCAGTGGCAGTTCTTTGTCTTTCACGGTCGCCTGGTCTTCTCCAGACACGGACACGTCGGTTATCTGGATGAGTGCTGATTCGGGATTCGTCAACGAAGAGACAGTTTAGCCAAATGTTTTCGTCCTCACCTTCTTCATTTTGCCGAAGTCTAGCCCACTGCAATCTTCGTTGTTGACGTTGCCGGGAATTGAGCGGAGCTCGCCAAGACCTCCGTGCTCGTAATCCAGCCTGGTGCAAGCAATTGCGAACGGTCTGCGTGCTAACTTCAAGCCCAGAGGCGGCCCTAACTTCTGCTTTTATTTTAGTGGCGTTGATTGTTGGATCACGGGCTGCCAGCAATCTAATATAGCGCTTATGGGCAGCTGTCAAAACAGTTGGGCGACCGCTGCGGGGTCGGTCAGCTAAATTCCCCATTCCGTGATACCTCTGCAACGTAGCCACGACACAGGATTGGGATATAGCAAGTCTGCGTGCTATTACTCTCGTGGTGTATCCTTCTTCCCTCAAAGTTACTATTCTAGCTCGTAAAACCTCTGATAATCCTCTTGGCATTTTTTCAATCACAACTTTCCGCGAAAAATATCTTGAGTCGGTTATAATTGACTAAATCAGATTTCTGAATGAGCTTAAGCTAGGACTGAAAGCCTTTTTATATGAAAAAACAATTGAACGGGGTCATTGTTTTATGTTCTAATTTATTTTTTAATAAAGAATCTAAAAAGGAGAAAAAATCATAATATAATCTACAGTAACAAAAAAGATTTCAGTTTTTCGAAGTGATCGCAAACTTTTTTTGATGTGTGTATACATTTGACACAGTTTAAATCATATCGTTTCCTTGGTATAATAAAGTCATACGTCAAAGGTCATTTTATCACGTGGAAGTCATAAAATATTACGAAGTACTTATTTCATAACAAAAGATGTATATATGTGAAATTTTGTAAATCTCCCATTCAAGAATAATAACGTTATCGACTAATTCTTTTAAACTTCTCTCCTAAAAAGTTGTCATTTTGCAGATGTTTTATTATACCAAGTGTGCATCACAACACAGAATGTCTGCATTGTACCGTGTAAATAACTTTTGCGTTGGAACTGTAACTCTTCCAATCGTGCTAAAGGTTACAATATGTCATAGTTCAGACCGTCACGTACGTCAATTTCAATTAGCGAAATTTTACATCGAATGTCAAAGGCAAATAATATCTGCAAATTATCAACTTTTGAATAGACAGGCTTAAAGATTCCACGAAATAAATTAATCGAATATTTTTTAGGCGCTTTTTTAGCTTATTTAAAAAAGGAAATCAACGATAACCAATAATTGCACGCCGGCTAATGCAGTTCCGCCATTAACAACGTTTTGTGTCACTGAAAACTATTGTTAAGCACACGCAATCATAATTAAACTACTGTTTAATGTTCGTAACGATGCATTTGTATTTTCAGATTTTTTATCGGGCGTTTTTATCTATCTATTCATAGCCTTCAAATAAATTTCGAATTAATTTATTACTTATTACTTACTATCCCTTTTTATTGCCTTTGTTAGCATTGATAACTTTCTAGTTTCACTGGGGGATGTTCTTGGTGGTTTGTCAGCTTTTGGAACTGTAGCCATAATAGGAGATATAAATATCGATATCACACCAAATAAATTTGACACCACCTCTCTTGATTACCAGGACCTAATAGCTCATTATGGTTTATACCCCGGTCACTTTTTTACTACACGAGAAGATAGCGGGACTTGCATTGACCACACTATATTGAGAACCTCTCTTGCGGCCACAACGCTAGTCTTAGATGCAACAATTACTGACCACTACGCTGTCCTACTCTCTGTCGAAACAAATAGTCGAATTCCATGTCGCAAAATCTCCAGGATCGACTTTATTGAACTAGATGAAGCCATCAATCAAATAGATTTTGACACGGTATATTCCACTAATGATGTAAACGTTGCTACTCGATGTTTGATTCTTCCTATTCGTCTGGCCATTAAAAGATGCACTAAATCCTATTACGTATCTCATAGGCGGAGAGCGCTGAAGCCTTGGATTACCCCGGGCCTAATAAAATGCATGAGGCATAGAGACAATCTGTATAGGAAACTAAAAAAACATCCTAATGATGAAATTCTCAAACTCTCTTATAAAAGGTATCGAAATTTTTGTAACGCTCGCATAAAAAACGCAAAAAGACACTTCGAAAGGGAAGAAATTAGAAAGGCTGGCAGAGATGGAAGGCGACTGTGGGAAGCCATTGGTAAAGTTGCCAATGTAAACAAACCAAAAAACATAGCTGATTTACTTTTGAAAGTAGGAAGTTCACCTCAAAGTTCAATTGATTTGGTAAACCATTTCTTTGTAAATGTGGGCCCTAATTTGGCACACACCAATATGCAGAGCTCGGGATCAAATTATAATCTGCCTGAGAGGTTCTATGGTAAATCTTTTGCTATGCTGGAGACAGATGAGCGTGAAGTGGAGCAATTAATTAACTCTCTAAAGGCGGATTGTGCAACGGGATGGGATGATATCTCTGGAAGTCTTATAAGACGATACAAAAACCTCATCATACCGCCGCTCACGTACATCTGTAATCTCAGTATCTCTACAGGAGTTTTTCCTGAACAATTTAAAACAGCGGTTATACACCCTATATATAAGGCGGGGGATCGGGGCCGTTTCAACAGCTATAGGCCCATCTCAGTCCTATCAGCCTTGTCAAAGATTCTTGAGCGCATTCTCAACAACAGGCTGGTTAACTTTTTGGAAACCACTCACCTTCTATCCGTTAACCAGTTCGGATTTCGGAAGGGTAGATCGACTGCAGATGCTGTACATCAGTTAGTTGATCATGTGGTCATCAACTTGGATAACCGACGTGGATGTCTCGGTATATTTCTGGATCTGGCCAAGGCATTTGATACGGTTTCGATACCCCGACTATTACATAAGCTGCAATCACTGGGACTGAGGGGACCACAGTTTGATATATTTAGAAGCTACCTCTCGGAGAGAACTCAGTATGTAAAAATTGGTGCGTATACTAGCGACGCCCAACCCATTACGTTCGGAGTTCCACAGGGAAGCATTCTGGGTCCGACACTGTTCCTAGTATATATCAATGACCTTTGTGATTTACAGCTTCAGAACTGTAAAATTTTCTCATACGCTGATGACACCGCGCTGATATTCTCTGGTGCGGATTGGGATGAGACCTATCAATCTGCACAAGCTGGTTTTAGTGTGGTAAGGAGGTGGCTCAACGACAATCTTCTCACACTTAATGCAGAAAAAACAAAAGTAGTCCCTTTTTCAATCCGCAACCATACTATATCTGATAACTCACAACTCAAAATTGCCGTCATCTCCAACCACGTTTCAGTATCTACAACCTTTTTGGAAATTACAAACAGTATAAAATACCTTGGAGTGCTGATTGACTCAAATCTTAATTTTAGACAGCATATTAATTTATTATCAGCGCGCATTCGGAAGCTCATTTACATCTTTAAGTCTCTCCGTCACGTAGCAGACCCCTACATCATGAAAATGGTATACCTTGCTCTAGGACAAAGCTTATTTACTTATTGCATTTCCGTCTGGGGTGGGGCCGCTAGGACTCATTTTATTCTTGTGGAGCGAGCACAAAGAGTGATTCTGAAAGTTGCCTGCTTCAAACCGTACCGTTTTCCTACTACGGATCTTTATGACTTTTGTCAAGTTCTTACTGTTAGGCAACTTTTTATCCTCTGGACGGTGTTGAGACAACACACCCTTACACCTTATGACAGTGGCTCTGATAGGCGAAATTGCATAGTGGCCTCTTGCGACCGACTGAGGACTGCCTTTAGCCACAGATTTTTCTGTTTCCTTGGATATTTTCTGTACAATAAACTCCATCGAGAGCTTCACATTTTTGGGTTGAATAATTTCGAATGTAAGAAGAGGTTGGCAAACTGGTTGCAAAAATTAAATTATGATGATACGGAAAAGTTGCTTCATCCAATAGTCTGAATCAAACTTAATGTTCCGTAACTGATACACACACTTACATGCACACACACGCACACATCTATCCAAATCACACACACCCAAACACACTCGCGCGCACACAAATACACACACACACACACACACATGTATTCCAAATTACACACAACCAAAAACACACACACACACAGCGCGTGCACATAAAAGAATTATCTCGAAGGTTTTTCTGTTACCGTAACTTATTTATTTATTTTATTTTTTTTCTCTCATGTATATAATTTGTGGTTGGTATATGTATACTTAGTAACATATGTTTCATTTGCAAGGGTTGGGGCCTGGTGACTTGTAGCACAGGTGTTAAGCCTATAGCAAGCACCAGCTCCTACAAAATACTGTTCTAAAATTACTAAGATTGTTTATGTACTTCTTATTTGTTGTTGTATTTTGTGGAGAAATAAAAAGTATTATTATTATTATTATTATTATTATTACTATCGATCTTTTTATGTCTTTATATGTGATTACTTACTTTATATGTATGTAAATGCACTCATAAAGATATGAAACTGTTTCTAGGTAAATGACGTAAGGTATAATTTTCAGCAAAGAATTGTTTTTGTAATTTTCAGTTTCTATATTTAAATTTTCACCATAGATTTTTTTTTTATTACTGTGGTTTATCCTTAGAAAAAGGAAAAATTCCATAGTGTAAGGGTTTATCACAGTTACAACATTTATGTGGTCTGTGGTTACAGCCGCGATTTGGTTTCTTTCATAATTAAATTGGTAGTACATGAATCTGACATAACAAGTCATAACTTTTTTATAAAAAAACCTTAGACTATCGAAACCAATTTTTCCATCCTCTAAGAAAAAAACCGACCTGAAAAGTTTCAAGATTTGCCAAATTTTGTTAAAATCGGTTACCGGAAAGTGAGCGAAATTAGATTCATCCCCTAGTTTGCCACACTTGGAGGTGGAACATTTTCTTCAAATTTAAATAGGACCAATACTGAGGTACCCTCTTTCCAACAGATAATCATCAAAATCGGTTCACAAAATGCCGATGTAATCACGTGACATACACAAGTAATAATAATAGTATAAAAAATTAAGAACCTGCTCCTTTTTTGAAGTCGGTTAAAAATATTACATTAATACGTAACACATATTAGAAGTAGTTCCATATTTGAGTAGAGTTGATACACTTTGAAATCAACTTTTTCAGTAAAATATTTACAAAATGTTATACAATAAAACTTATCGTTTTTAACAAACAAAACAAAAGACTAACCAAAACATTAAGGATATTAAATTTCGCCGAGCACAATGGCTATTCGGAATTTCCGGCCCAATTTGATTAACGTGGCAACAGTGCAACCCTTTTTGTTTCACGCTGAGTCTAAAAGATTAAAACATACCCCTGGATATTTCTCAAATAAATACCTAAATATATTTTAAAAAAAGACTTCATTTGTTTCACATTATCTTGTGTAATAATATATAATAAAATATATTTGATATATAAGTAAATATATTTGACGACCTCGGTGACCTAACGGTTGACATTGTGGAAGCGCAGATCCCGGGTTTGATTGCCGGTACCACCGATTTGGAAATGAACTTTTCTGAATTGGTTCTGGTCTGGGTGTTCTGGGATGTGCCCCAGAGTAAATTCCGCTGCTCTGGTATTCATAGTACCTGTACTATGAATACCAGAGAAGCGGAATTTACTCTGGAATTCTCTAGTTTGAGACCGGGTAATTGATGTGGTTGTCGGGTACACATATATTAAACACATACACCGCGTCACTGGCCAAAGTATTCGAGCTCTTTTTAAATGTTAATGAGAATTATTTATCAAAATCTCACAATCTTTTATCTACTTCACACAGACACTACACACTCACTCACAGTCACTACAGAAATGTCACAGTGCCTGCTCTGTTCTGCAGTTATGAGGTACAGAGGTATAGAACTTTAAAGATCATTTACACCAATCGGCAAAGTATAGTAAATCATAATCATCAATCCATTTATGTCCTAACGCTGCGCATGAGTTTTCCATAAGGAAACTGTTTACGCCTTTTATTACTTACCTATTACCATATGTATGTTAAAAGACTTGCTTTTATTTTGTTCGGAACGTAATTGATACTAAAACATTTTCACAATCTTATCCTACTTAATAGATACGACTCAAATTGAACATGTCAATTATTGCGTTCAAATTTATATCGACACGCCGGTCACGACTACAGTTCAAACTCCACATGTTGGCCCTTTGGAGGATCGGTACTTAAGGTTTTGGAGAAGTCATGAGAGCCCTTTCATACATGCAGATTTCATCATTATGTTTTCCATCTCACCTGTTGGAAAGTGATGATAAGTTCGACAATGTACATGCAAACTTAAATAATGCCTATTCACTCTCGCCTTGAAAAGGTCCTAGTTATAGCGTTCGGGGAATAAGTCCGCAGATAGGAAAGCCCACTCTCTAGCCGCTCGCCATATAAATGTAGAAGCGAAACGCTTCGTGCGAATCCTGAGAATATCCACAACACAGGGGTGGAAACCCAGCCCACGTCTAGTCCCCTGATGATAGAAAGGGGAAGGCGGAATCAAATTATGCAATTCCATCGCACACTCTCCGTGATATATTTTGTAGAATACGGATAAGTAGGCAACTTCACGGCGGTCTTCAAGACTCTGCAGCTTCGCCTCTACTAATTCCGAGTCAACTATAAGCCTCTTGGCACACTTGTCGTTGTTGATTGAATACAATGTTAGTATTTAGAACTAAATTCCATACGATTAAAAAGACTCAAAAGTACAGGCTTGCCGTTGGGACATGAACTCAAGTAGGCTTCTTCATAGTATCCCAAAACTCGATGGACACCGATTGCTGCTTGTCCTCAGATCAGCCATGTGTCCAATATCCCAGAGTGTATATCTTTCATAAAAAACATTTATACTACTCTTCCCTCATCTCCATCATGAACTGCCTCCGTGGCCGAATGGTTACCATGTTGAACTGCCACGCAGAGGGCCGGAGTTATTATTATCTTTTTGGCCTTTTACAAGTCCATTCTTGTCCATAGGGTCCTGTCGGTTGTAGCCATTCGGAATATGCAAATTACTGGAATGGACATAGATTCACATACAATTTTACTATCAATATCATTACCTATGTAGACAGCAGCAAATTCAGGCTTTCGCGATTATGACACATAGGAAATGAAACTATTTTGTCAGATCTAAATAGCGTATATTACAGACCCTTGGCAGGCTCCATGGTCACGGCTGACTGAGATGGTAAAGTCATTTATATTAACGCAAAAGTTATTTATTTAAATACCTTATGCTTAATTTACCAAAGTGCATTCCAATTTACGCTACATACATTTTACAAAATATTTTATTTTATAAATATGAATTTATACTAAATTAAATAATTAAAAGGAAATTACTGGAAATCAATATTTTTTCTTTTATAATTATGCTATTTCCCATAATTACTTGTTAGAATGGTAAGTAGGTACTTTATGTTTTTATTTGCATGTCAAATGAAGCCAATTGTTTTTGTATTATGAGTATTTCTATTTAAAACACTCTAAGTAAACAAAAGATTTACACATAATCTATAAACATTTCGCTAACGAGGTACCATGTAGCATTAGAAGCACCAATTAGACGAGCTTATAGCTAAGAGGCTTTGCCCAAGAGAACTCAAAACGTGAGTGAGAAAGTTACCTGGAAACTATAATGATAGCTAATACCCAATTAGACGAAGTTTTATGCCAAATGGAGATAAAAATACGACGATATATTCATTGAGGATGTTCTTAAACGGTCAGGATCCAAGATACCCTGAACAAACGAGCGTTTATGAAAACATGTATGAGAATAGCGGAATATTCCTGGCGCTTAGATATAGCAAGCATAGGTCCGTCGCACATTGGAGCCGGTTAATATAAGTAACGCTCAAAACTCAATTTTTAAAATGTGGATATTTAAAAAAATATACACATTCACGTAGTCGTAATAAAGTATCACATCACGCGTAAAAATATGCGCTACTCAGTATTTTTACGACTACGCTATAGTCGTCACCAAATAAGAGGCCAAATTTGACAGCTAAAGAAGTAAATAGTACGTAACTTCGAATGCGATCAACGAAACAATAAACAAACAATTGTTAACATAATTGAGTTAAAAAAAATACATTTTATTGAAACATTATATAATATGACAAAACATATTTGCAGAGTACTTCAAAACAGTAAAACAGTAGTTTTCGCACGAATTCCAAAAAAAATGCAATTCTGAGTTACTCCGAAACGTCTTGAAAACAGTTACGTCCTCAAGCTTTTTTTTTAATAATAGTGTTGTAAGCAATTAATCGCTGAATTTCACCGAGTCACTTGGATGTCTCGGAAAAAATATTGACTTATTAAATATTAAAACAAAAATGTATAAAAATAGGTGTATTTAAAATAATATACATATATATATATATATATACATATATACATAATTCTGTATATACATAATATACTCTGACCACACCTATTGCAAATAAATGTGTAATTTATCAAATTTAAAAGAGCCCAGGTAGTACTATTATTATAACCTCGAGCCCTAGCTAGATTCGGGTTGCGCTCCATGTCAAGCAGAATGGTCCACAGACCTTCAGACACTCTTGAACATCTCTCCATATCTAAAAATATGAAACTAATTATTAAAACGACAGCGCTTTGAAAATGAATGAAAAGACCTTCAATTATATCACTTACTTGTTTTATTTTCACGAAGTAATTGATGTGATGATTATACAATACAACACTTTGTAAGCTGATCCAATCAAGTCTGTGTGAACCATACATGGAAGCTTTGTTGTTGATCACAAAAACACACATTTATACATTATTATAAGCATGAAATAGGATAAATACCACTTCAAATTATGAACATTATTTGAGATTGTTTGTTGTTGACATTTACAACTTTTAACTTATTGCCAG